TATGTATATAGGAGCTTAGAAGTATCCATAGGGAGAAACTAAAACAATGAAACAGTACTATAAGGCGAAAGTAGTGTCGCTAAGGGGAAACTAAAGCGACGTTAAGGGGAAATCATAGACAAAAGAGTTTCCCCTTAAGAGCCGAATAAAGGTACAACCGTAGGTAAAGTGCCTTGCCCAAGAACACAACAAGCGATTTGCACAGCGAGAGTTTCGAACACCCGACCTTGAGTTGCCAACCGCTTCTACAAAAATACTTCATGCACTTGCAAATTTTTACTGAGACTGTAATTTGAAGAGTTGGAAAAATATCCTGTTTACAGAGAGAAAACTTATATCTGCTGTTTGAAAATCAGTAGATAAAAATATAATTAATTTCAATTATAGTAGTACACTGAATATTTTTTGTTTAAATTATTATTCATATTTACCTCCAAAGCCATTCCAATAGAATAATCCCTTTGGTCCATGTACAGTTTCGATTGGCACAGTGATGGAGTTGACCATTCCAAAAATGGTTGCAACCAGAGCAAAGACTGCAGATATCACCATACATACAATGACCAGGATCGGTAGCCAAGTTGGGTAAACACCCTCATGCTCTTCAAACACTGGAAGAGAACAAAATAAACTAAAGAGTAAATTACAAATAACAATAAATGATATAGCCTACTAATAACAACAACAGATATCACCATACATATAACAACAACAGATATCACCATACATATTGAATTGCCTTGGTGGGATCCACACCAAAAACAGCATAAAATAGCTATTAACAAAAGTGATTGAGATGTATGTTATGTGTTAAAGGTGATTTTTCTCGCAGGCTGAAAATCCTTAACATACCTGATATGGTTCAAAGAATTAAATTCCATAGCATTATTTTTAAATGCTTACGTAATTTAAGTGATCTGGATGTTTTGGAATATCTTGAATGATTAATGTCCGATATCCAGAAACTCTCACCTTTAAACACAAGTATAGTAGAACTAATGCATTTAAATATTCCTTGTTTATGAACTTTCCACGAATCTGGGAACTTACCGTATTCCTCGTGATATTCGTGATAAGGCTTTGTAAAACTCTGGAGTGTTTAGAAGAGCTCTAAAGCTCGTTATCAATAGCATTAAATTTTAGGATTTCTCTTTGGTTTCTTTTATGCACTTTTAGTTGGGAACGCCACTCGACAGTGAACAATTCTTTTGACTGTTTACTTTTAAGCACCCTCAGGAACTAAGGTACCTTTATGTATTTTTTTTTCTGAATAATAATTGAATAAAATTTTTAAAAAATTAAAAAAAATAATGAAAACTGGTTTTACTCAAAATAATGTTTCCCTAAATGAAAACCAATGTTTGATTTAAAAAAAAAAAAAAAAAAAAAAAAAAAAAAAAAAATTACTAACAATATTAATAAAAAAACAAATGGAGGTCAAACCCTTAATGTGTCCTCATATTTCAATTAACCTACCACTAAAGCATATGTAATCTCTAGCACCAAAACCATAGTTGAATATCTTACAACCGCGAACGACCCCAAAATGCATAAAACCTTTATTTGGTGCAGGTTCACCATCGTTGGCAGTGGCAGTTTGACTGAAAGCACCATTTACAAAACTGGAGTTCCTCTTTAAGTCTGCATCTATCCAATGGGTCGTTCCCACTGCAGTACAAAGCAATATAACTATACATATTCCAGTCGCAAAATTCAAGAAGAAAAATGTCTTATACCGCAGACACATTTTATAAAATAAAAATCCCTTATTGCAATTATGGATGAAACTTGTTTGGCAGCTGTTTAAGCCATTGGTGAGCCTTCTCAGGCATGGAAAAGATATAGCTTGTCGACACTTGGCGAAACAGCTAACCGGATGGATGAATTGAACAATATACAGTCAGTTCCTGTAAATATATCTCGAAAATAATTTAGAACTACGGCATAGTTCTCAAAATAATCCGTTGTCAAATCGTAAAAATGCGTACGTTCGTTCTACAATTGTGGTACATTGGTACCGATGGCGCTCATGACCATCATTGTTTTGTTTTGTTCACGATTCCAATGTCGTTCTGCATGAACGATAAGCACACAGAAAGGGTTAGGTTTTTAACAATAGACTTTTTGTTCGTCGGAGCAAAATTATATATTGCTTCAAATTAAAAAAAATAAAAAATTGGCTGCAATCAGTGATGTTCATGAACCACAGGCATAGCATATTATGGCTCTTGGGGAAGCCAACGATCTATAATGCATTTAAATGGAACTAAATTCTTGAAAAATAGGCCTAGTGTTCAATTGTTTACTTAAATTTACTTGTCAGCATTTAATTGAAACAATTTTTTGGTCAATCCCGGCCGTTCCCTTCCCCATAGTTATCAACCTGAGGGATTTGAAATGCTCGAGTGACCAGTTGGATGGGGTGGGTGGGGGTTCCAAGCGGCAGGGGCTAAGCCCTCCGCTCCGAGCATTTTTAAGCTGTTTTAAAACGGTGTGTTTCATCCAAAAGCACTTGGAAATGCGGGCCCGTCCCGCACGATGCGAGGTTGGTAGATGGTTCCCCTTTCAATTAATGAGCAATTCGTTGAGTTTTCCCTCCGAGTTATGTCCTTTTGTATCTGTGTGAGCACCTTGACTTATGGTATTTTTCCGTCCATCTTGCGTGTTACTTAGGTACTCTGCTGATGTAAGAATTGAAGATCCCTCCAATTTCACTTTTTCTCGGGTGAAAATTCATTCATGAGTGTATTAGTTCTTAAAAGTGAAAAAATAGTAAAGTCACTTTAAATAGAGGGAATTAATTTCACTCCATCAAGGCCTTGTGAAAACTACTGTAGTCTTTTCTTTTTTTTTTCTCCTCACACTTTTGCCTTTGGGTTAAAATCATAAATTTTAAACGTACCTGTATATGACTGTGATTCTCTCGTCCCAAAGCCGTAGTTAAACTCCTTGTATCCATTTATTATACCAAAATATACAGATCCAGATGTGTCGTTAAGAATCGAATCTAGGACAGGATCAGAATTGTCTATGAACCGATATACCTCTCCTGTGATCCAATTTGGGGTAGCAGTTGAAACAATCAACATTATCATGCACACAAGTGCATGGATGAACGTACAAAAATACCACTTTTTTACACTATTTTCTCCCATCCTGTTTTAATTTATTTTCGACTTCTACAAGGATCACTGTAGTGGCAAATTATTGTGGTAGGTGTAATCAATTTTGGACTTTGATTCTATAGATAGTCTGTCTGGTGATTGATTAAATATTTATAGGCCAATTGTACTTTATCTCGTCGAGAGTCAACGGTACTAGGAAACAGTTAAGTTATAACTGTCTTTGTAAAACATAACATTACGGTTTGGACGCTTGATGCACTCTCGAAATGATGTTTTCTCCGACTTTCTGAGCAAAGTAAAAAAATACAGGATGAAATTCAGTGCTAATTGGAGTAAGGAGGCCTAAATGAAACACTTTGCATTATTAAAAAATACAAAAAAAAAATTAATTTTAGATCTTTACTGTTTATCTCATGCATATCTTCAGTTGCGCTAAACCATTATCATTATCATCATCATCATCATCAACAACAACTTCTTCTTCATTATCGTCATCATCATCCTCATCATCAATATTCATCACTATGAACATCATCTGACATTATGATCATTTAAAATAAAGTGAATGCCAGTAATGCTACAGAGGGCGTCCTTTATAGTGTTGGCGCTAATGAATATGAAGTCGAAGATGGCTGTGACTCCACGTAAATAGTGTTTGATTTTAAATGGAAAAATACGCTTTGTATATATTAATTTTTATATTTTAAGTTCATATAATAATTGTGTTTCATTTAGCTCTTTGTATGACTATTTTTTGTTTAGCTAGGTAGGAGTAGGGTAGGCTAGCTTAAGTTAGGGCCTCTAGGCCCTAGGCCTAGGCTAGGCTCTAGGGCCTGGCCAGGCCTACTACTACTAGGACAAGTACTACTGCTGCTGGGCCTAGGCCTAACTAAGCTAGGTCTTGATAGTATAAATAATCCGACTGGAGTATCATTCAATGGTTTAATAGTAGCGACAGGGGAGGGACTAGTCAAAGTTTGCAATTTGCTTCCAACAAAGGCAGGGAGCAGGTCAAAACGGCAAAAAACCAAAACGACAATAAACCAAAACAGCAATGATAAGTACCAAAACGGCAACAGACCAAAATGGCAATGACAACTACCAAAACGGCAATTATTATTTTTTTTTTTTTTTTTACACATCTACATGACTATTCCTATATTAGGCCCAATAAAAACGATTTTTAGTTTATCACCCTCGCGCGCATGTCTTTTATGGTACTGGAAAAAAAAAATTTTTTTTTACATTTTTTTGAAATTTCTTTTATTAAATATTTAGTAGATAGTTTGCATTATCTAAATCATGTTTTACTTTGAATATCAATGCACCAGCAAACAACCCAAGGGTGATATTTGGCTTTAGCAAAATAAAAAAAAATAAAAAATTCTCCCTTCCTCATCACTTTTCCTGCCCAGATAGGGTGATAAACTAATAATATTTTTTATAGGGCCTTATTTTAAAGTGTTATTTATTGTTATTATTATTTATATCCGTTTTTACTTTCATGGCAGGGATGTCACCAGCTTTTTGGAGTGCCGGTCGGCGATCATCCCGCGTTTTCCTTGGGGGCCCCCGTTTTTCTGGGGGGGGGGAGGGTCGCCGTATTCGTGGAAGCTCTTAAAAACCAAAAGGCCTAAGTCAAGCAGGCCTAGGCCCAAGGCTAGCTGATGCGATTTTTTTAGGCTAGGCCCAGGTAGGCCTATGCCAGAATTTGAGGAATGCAACAAAACAGATGAAGATGAGACTTACTGTAGGCCTAATTAAATTCAATAGTTGACATGCTTTGTTTTAGATTAAAAAATAATAATGAACAAATCCCGGCAACAAAGCGTACCCAGCCGCATTGTTTGTCGTAATTTCACATGTTTGACGATTACCACGTCTACCACGATGAATGTGTATGTCACCGATTCATGTGCACTCATTTATTTATTTTTTGTCCATTTACACATTATATATCAATTATAACTAAAAGTGAAAAACTTAAAATACAAAATGAAAACAAAGTAAAGAAATAAAACATAAATCAGGTTTCATAAATTTTTAATAATCTTCCTGCCCCGGATCATGCTCTCATAATAAAAAAAATCTTGAATGGTCATTATTTCAACTTTAACCTTTGAATGTGTACAGCAACCGTGTCGTGCCAGCCAGTCCACAACGTTCAGCTATGACTCAACTGGGCCTAGGCTGTTCAGTTAGCGATGAATAGCAGGGCAGTGCAGTATTTTGTTACAATTAACGTAACCACGGAAACATTTATTGTATTCTTCTTGTCTTTATCAATTTAGCTTGTCTATTGTGTTTAGGTAAACTAATTATTTTGTTACAATTTGTAAACTGTTGAAATAATAGTGGTGGTCGGGAGCCTGTAAATCCTGGTTGGAAATGTCGAGTGCTGGACGGGCCCGTCCACCGCCGACCAGCGTGGTGACATCCCTGCATGGCATAATATTGTTTAGCCTCATTTTACCTGTTTTGAGGTTTTAATTATTTAAATGTTCACTGCTTTTATATTTTATATATTACATTGTGTTCCCCAATCTTTTTACTATTGAATTGTATTGTATGTTATTATTATTATTATTAAATTATTATTAACGTTGTTCTTTAAAGTGTTATTTATTATTAGGCTATTTTTTCTTTCGCGCATTTTTACTTTCATGACATAAATTGTATAACTATTGAATCTGTATGTTACACTATTATTATTATTATTATTATTATTATTATTATTATTATTATTATTATTATTATTATTATTATTATTATTATTATTTATTATAATTATTATTATTATTATTATTACCATTATTATCATTATTTATTATTATTAATGTTGTTCTTTATAGTGTTTTTTTTTCTTTTGCGCTTTATTACTTTTGACATAAATTCTGGAAGTGTTGCCATTTTGGTTTATTGCCATTTTTACTTAGGTCTATTGCCCTTTTGATCTTGCCATTTTGACTTATTGCCGTTCTGGTTGAAAAGTGTTGCCGTTTTGGTTTTTTGCCGTTTGGCCATTGCCGTTTTGACTTATTGCCGTATTGGTTTTTTGCCGTTCTATCCAGAAACCCAAAGGTAACAGAATTATTGATTGATTGAGGTAGAGGAGAGGCTTAAACTTTAAGGGAGGGTGTTCCTGTTTAGTTGTTGGAAAAAGGAATATACTGTACTGGCCTTGCTCGTCTGTTAAATTCCAGGAGGTTATATCAATCTTCAAGTCAATAATTTGGCGAACAATCTTGTGCATCATCGCTAGTCTGTTGACTTTTTGTCTATGTTCAAGTGGAGGGAGGTTGATTTCTCTAAGCATAGCAGTAACAGAGGAATCCCTTGACTTGGGTTGTTCATATAATAAAAATTAAGGGGTCCCAGGACTGTGCTATGGGGCACTCCTGAGAGGACTTTGACTGGTTTTGATGCCAGTGGCGGCTCTAGGATATCAGGATATTCTAGGATATTATGGGGTGGGGGTGGCTAAGTATTTATGGGTGTAACTATAGTGCGCAGCGTTATTTGAGGGCTGAAGGCCCATGCCAGGGATGGGTATGGGATGGAGTGTCCCCTCCTCCCAAAACGAGATTTTTTTTTTAATTGGGACTTCCAGATGGCCGGAAATGGCTGGGATAGGAAAACAAGGCCTATTTTTTTTGGTCTGACCGCCCGACGAGCTTGGGCCGATGGGGGAGCTTGACCAGACCGATGGGGGGGCTTAAGCACCCCTGCCCTCCCTCTGGCGCCGCCACTGTTTGATGCTACTCCTTGGATATCAATGGCCTGTTTTCTGCCGATGAGAAAGAATGAGATCCATTTATGTCAGGGTTGTAGCTAATGAAAATTAAGGGTGGGGATAGTTATTTTGAGGGTGGGTGACATTGGTAAACTCTAGATAATAAGAGTGGATTATAAGGATGGAAAAGTTGCTTAAT